GAGGAAAATCCAAATAGAAGCCGTGTACAAGTTGCTGAAGCAGTAAATTCAAGTACAACAACAGTTAAAAGGGTCCTCAAAAAACATGGTTATCGTTCAAGAAAAGCTAAAAAGGTTCATGAAATTTTCCCCGACGATCAATTTCGCCGTATGGAGTTTTGTGAAATAATGATGGAAAAGGTAAATCTTGACGAAAAGGCCTGACTGACTGGCCTGAATTTACTTTCTTAGGAGAATTGTTTTTACTGATGAGTCGTCCTTTTCCTGATTAAATCGGCAAAACTCCACGCAAATGGGATATTGGTCAAGAGAAAATTTTATAGGTTTTATAATCTGCTCACCCAATATCCATAAAAACTAAATGTTTGGGCAGGTATTGTAGGGAACACGTTATTGGACCATTTTTTTATTGGGGGCAATTTAAATACTACGAAATATTTTGATTTATTGCAACAGCAAATTGTACCGGCGATTCGACGATTATTTGGTGATATTTGGTGGCAATAAGATGGGTGTCCAGCACACAATGGTCGTATTGTGCAAGAATATTTAAACAATACTTAATAGGGCAATAGACTAATTAGTGGGCATGGAACCATCTTGTGGCCGCCAAGGTCACCTCACTTCTCGGTGAATGATTTCTTTTTATGGGGGTACATAAAATCTAAAATTTACGGCCATGAAGAAATTCAAAACTTGGAACAGTTAAGGAGCAATGTGAGGAGGGGATTTTATGATCGTTTGGGTTATTGTTTAATGCAAGAGGGAGGCATTTTTGAAAAAAAAATTGTAATTTATTAAATTTCATTATCCTGTTTTTTTACCGTTTACCCATTACCTACCTTGACGAACATGGGAAAACAAAGGTCCTTTTCAGGACCACAAATATTTTAATGGAAAAATTTGTTACTTTTATTTTTTTTGGATTAAAAAACAAAAGTTGTTAATATAATACCAATTTAAAAGTGTTTTAGTAGTGTTAATGCACACTATGTTATAAAATTTATTATTATTATAATGTAGGTACATTGTTAATACTATTATTCATTCGCAATGAATATGCAATGGCATTAAGGCCCAATTGCACCAATGATTTAAATTTTCCTTAAAGATAAGTAGAGCTTATAATGAGCTATATTTATATTTACTTTAATATTCACGTTAAATGAGGGAATTTGACTGATACAATTTTTGAATTTGAATTGTTTTTAATGATACTAACAATTTTAGTTCAATTTTTAATAAAATTTATTTAATATTAATAGAAATCTAAGAGATTTGAAACCTCTTTTAGCGATTTATAACATTCTCAAATGAATTACAGGTGCCCTTATTTTCTATGAAAACCACACAGATTTTTTCATACTCGCTACAGTTGCTATAAAAAACATAAATAAATGAATAGGGACACTCTTTATTCTCTTAGTTTCATAGGAATTACGTTTTTAAAGAAAAAGTCACAGTTATAACTCGACTTAAGCTAAGAAAACCTTAAATATCGCGGTGCAATTGGCCATACATTGTGTGAAAATTGCGACACACGCTAAATGGACTTAATTTTTCCTATGTCTCGAAGTCTGTGGACCTTTCTGTATAATTCGGGCTTTATCCTTGATACTGTATATTCTTTTTATAAGAATTTGTGAAAACCCTAATAAATATAAACATTTATTGACATTGGCCTTAAGTACTACTTATAAATAGTTTTGATAAAGTACGTTGATTTCCAATAGATTGTAGTTGTCCAAACATTGAGGAGTTATTTTTATTTGATTAATTCAAAAATTCATATAGGTATGTTTATCAAATATTTTGCGGATTTGAAGTGCAATAAATTAATCTGAATATTTCTTGATGACATTTCTGTAATCTTAGACAAATATAGGTGAATTTATTTTTTAGAAAAAATGGAGCAGAATTTTATAAGTATTAACATGGATTTTAAAAGTATTAACTATTGATTGCTTAATGCCTATAACTGAACAAACTAACGTGTAGATTTAGTTTTCGTTGACCCAATAATGAGTCAATATAAACATTGTATTTTTAATATTTTTATATACAACATGTGCCATCTCTCGTGGGGAGGTTCCTCACGTAAAAATAAGATTTATTTTTTATATCAACCTAGGTCCGATTCTGCTTTATTTCGTAACTACAGGGTGTTAAAGTCTTAATAATTTTTCGATTTATTATAATTTTCTTTCAAGTAGTTTTAGTGATTTGAATGAAATTTTGAGGGTAAAATTTCCTATACGTGTCAAATTCATCAGGGACGTGTATGTAGGTTATCACTGGAATATCTTTCAAAAAAAAAGCATGTACGGAACTGACTTTTTTTCTTTTGATATCAAAATTGGTGTAGGCCGTTTAATGCGAATTAAAAATTATCTCTTGATATTATGTCGAATTCGCCCTCCTTGATGAGATAAACGCAATTTTATTATTCACAATTAATAAAATTAAAATAAAAATGAAATTAATAAATTATTTATTTTACCTAAGTTATCACTAAGTATTATTAGTATTAGTTATTATTACTATTAGTCCAACCTACAGCAATTTCAAATTAAAAAAAAATGGTATTTAAGATAATTACAAAAAAAACTAATTTTAAAAATGTTTAACACCCTGTTTAGAGTTACAGGTACTATGTTTATAGGAACTTTTTTTCATATTTTTTGATGAGAAATCAACGAATAATTATTTAAAACTTTCGCAAATTAATTATATTAAAAAATTTTAAGGTTGCTCTTAGGCTTGGATCAAGGCAAATTAATAAAATTCCGTTTATCTCATCAAGGAGGCCGAAACCGACAAAATATAAAGAGACAAATGTTAATGGGCATTAAACTTCTTACACTATTTCGCTTACAAGAGGAAAAAAGTCACTGGCGTACATGCTTTTTTTAGAAAAATTCCAGTGATAACCCATATGCACGTCGCTGGTGAATATGGCAACACTTTTTTAGCCCTAAAATATGTAGCATTTATAGTAACTTTTACCCTCACAATTTCATTCAAATCGCTAAAAGCACTTGGAAGAAAAGTATAATAAATCGAAAAAATATTAAGACTTTAACACCCTCTATAGCTAGGAAACAAAGCAGAATCAGACCTATGTTGATATAAAAAAAAATCTTATTTTTACGTGAGGAATCTCTCCACGAGAGATGGCACATGTTTTTTGAAACAATCTGTATAAGAAAAACTGAAAAATATACATTTTTTATTTATTTATTAATATCTCTGAAACTATCGAAGTATATTTACTCATATCTTAGGATTATGTAGTGATCTGAAAGGAAGCCAAAAATGCAATAATATACAAGGTGTAGTATTTTAAGAAAATCATCCCAATCCACCCACACTTTTTTGAGCCATCCTATAGAAGTTAAAATATTTCCCTGAAATATATCCCCGTACATACTTTAGGTTTGCACTTAAAAAAAATCCCAAGTTTTTTTATTCTAGGAGCTACAGATGCCCGACGCACTATTGCCAAACCTTGTATAAGCGAAAAATACGAATTGGAAAGAAATATGTTTGTAATAGGCTTTCTACAGTATGTACGAAATAGCCTGAAATATGTCGAATAGTGAAAGGGATTATTTCGTACTGCCTCGTGTAATGAAAATAAGCCGAGACGAAATAAAATTAGGCGATATTTCCTCGAAATATCCCTTTTTATTATTCAACCTCGACATAGTTCGGGCTATTTCGCGCACAGTGTAGAGGCCGTTTAAGGATTTGTAATACGCCATTTAATATAACCCCCAAATTTATAAAACGTGCAATTTGGAAACAATAAATATGGGGACAAATATGCAAAGGAGTATTTTTATAAAAAATTGTGCTAAGTTCGTTCTAAGTGTAAGTTTTGTATAATTTGTCCACTAAAAATAATATACTTTCGAAGTCATACTATTCTAGATATAAACGTAAACGTAATTAAAAAAATGATATTAACCCCTCTCCTCCCTCGTGCTCATATTAATAATTACAATTAGGTATAAAGGCGCATTCTCACGACTCGTCTACTTGGCAAGTATTTTTTATTGGCATACAGGGTCTGGCGATATTGCTGCGTAGTTCCTATAATAAATAACTTAGAAATTCTGTAAACAGGGCCGAGCCGCCCATGTGTGCGAAGTGTGCGGTGCACACAGGCGCCAAGACGAAAAGGGCGCCGGATGAAATGCCAGCGCCAATTGTTTTAAATTAGTTTTGTTACACAAATCCAAAACTTACTGGTAAATTCCAAAACGAAATAATTTATACAGGTACTTAGTGGCAAATTTCAACATTTCATTTTGAATTTATGTTGAATATACTATTAAATGCAACTCACCAAAGTGGGATTATGGTAAAGTTTACAACATTGCTCAACAATCAAAAGAATCCTCATTTCTCAAATGCAGTAGTAAAAATCAACTTTTAAAATACACGTGAAAACTAACTACAAAAACTTTATAAAAAACAATACAACGTGTATGTGAGTACAAAGTCAAAGCACGAAAATTGCATGTCAAAAATCTTAAAATACAATAGCAATTAATTCTGCTTCATGAACGATCCAATTATTTTATTGTAAATACTTAAAAGACAAAAGAAACGAATTAATTTTCAAGATTTTCTTTACAGTAAAGTGCGTTTCTGTTAGCACCGCCGATCGTTCACTAACGAACACCATAGTTTCAAAAAAGGTAAAATATGTTACTCTTGATAAGTAAAAAAGGATAAACTTATGCATATAATAAAAAGAGTGAAAGAGAAACAACTACATAGAAATATTTTGACACATTGGTTCGTTTCATCAGCGAGAGAATTGAAAAGAAAAGCAAGATCTCAAAAAAGAGGGAATTGTAATACAAATTTTAGTATAAAATAATATCTTAACATTCAAATGACATTAAGGATGGTGAAATACAAAAAGCGATAAAAATCTTTTCAAAAACTCAACAATCAAACCCCACCCACACTACAGTATGAAAATATAACTATTGAGAACCTTGAGTAGCCACTTGTCGCAATGAACCATAGTTGCCACTGTACAAGTCTAAAATGTAACCGTAAATGACACTAAGACTCTGGGTGTCACTTCTTTTATTCATGGTGTTAGCTTGTGAATTTATGTGAACCATTTCAAGAAAAGTTCTTTTACAAAATGAGTCAGCTCTATCCAGAATCTCAGCACCATCCCAGTCTATCTTGTGGTCTAAATTGTTAACATGTTCCGACAATGCACATGACAAAACGCCCCTTCTACAGTCACTTTTATGAGATGTGATACGACCTTTTAAGTTTCTAGAAGTTTGGCCTATATAAGACAAATCGCAATCTCTACATTGCAACCTGTACACAACATTCCAATTTTCCATTATCTGAAGTGGTGTCTTAGTTCTCGAATAGAGTTTAGAGAGAGCCTTGACTTGTTTGTTAGCAATTTTAATATTATTATATTGTCTGAAAACGTTTGCAAGTTTATATGTAAGATTATCTATATAAGGTAAAGAGAAATAACTGACAAGTTGTCCATTTTGATCCTCTGTCACTCGGTTAGGCTCAAGAGGAGTATTAGTGATATTAGGTAGTTGTTGTGCTGTAGGTTCCTGGTTATTATTGTTCACTATAGCTGTATGAAACAAAAACCTATTAATGATTTTTTCTGGATAAGAATTGTCAATCAAAATATTTTTTAAAAGAGCCACAGATTCCTCTACATAATCAGAGTGGCTTAGTTTAACTGCTCTAGACTTCATTCCCAAAATTAAATTTATTTTTGATGTCATTGTGTGATATGAATGGTAGCTGATGAAACGATTTGTTTTAAGGATGTTATTTTCTGTCCTCATAACCAACATATCAAGAAACAGAACAGCTCTGTTCGTTTCTTCTTCCACAGTGAATTGAATATACCTGTCGTAGGTATTAAAAAATTCTAAAGTCATGCCTATCTGATATTTAGGAACAGCCAGTAACAAATCATCTACGTAGCGCTTAACAAAGGGAATATGATGTGGCATGTAATGTAGACAATCCTTAACCAGATCGTCCAACACAAAATTTACTAAAATGGGTGAAATTTTAGAACCCATAGGGGTGCCAAAAATCTGTTTGTAATACGTACCATTGAAAATAGTAAAATTAGAATCAAAAATAAACTCTATTACCCGCTCGAGTGTTTCGAAATCAAATGGACAACACGGGGAAATACTATTCCAATTATTACGCAAACTTTTCAGAACCACCTCCATAGAGAGGTTAGTAAACAAAGAAACTGAAAAAAATGAAAAAGAATCCCTGACATAATAATCATTGTCAACATTATACGCCCTAGTAAGAATATCTGGTTATATAAGAATATCTGTTATATAAGAATATCTGTTATATATTTGGCCAACTGAGCTGTTCCGTTTCTTGATATGTTGGTTATGAGAACAGAAAATAACATCCTTAAAACAAAATGGTATAGAAAGCCATATTGTTCAAATCGTTTCATCAGCTACCATTCATATCACACAATGAAATCAAAAATAAATTTAATTTTGGGAATGAAGTCTAGAGCAGTTAAACTAAGCCACTCTGATTATGTAGAGGAATCTGTGGCTCTTTTAAAAAATATTTTGATTGACAATTCTTATCCAGAAAAAATCATTAATAGGTTTTTGTTTCATACAGCTATAGTGAACAATAATAACCAGGGACCTACAGCACAACAACTACCTAATATCACTAATACTCCTCTTGAGCCTAACCGAGTGACAGAGGATCAAAATGGACAACTTGTCAGTTATTTCTCTTTACCTTATATAGATAATCTTACATATAAACTTGCAAACGTTTTCAGACAATATAATAATATTAAAATTGCTAACAAACAAGTCAAGGCTCTCTCTAAACTCTATTCGAGAACTAAGACACCACTTCAGATAATGGAAAATTGGAATGTTGTGTACAGGTTGCAATGTAGAGATTGCGATTTGTCTTATATAGGCCAAACTTCTAGAACTTTAAAGGTCGTATCACATCTCATAAAAGTGACTGTAGAAGGGGCGTTTTGTCATGTGCATTGTCGGAACATGTTAACAATTTAGACCACAGGATAGACTGGGATGGTGCTGAGATTCTGGATAGAGCTGACTCATTTTGTAAAAGAACTTTTCTTGAAATGGTTCACATAAATTCACAAGTTAACACCATGAATAAAAGAAGTGACACCCAGAGTCTTAGTGTTATTTACGGTTACATTTTAGACTTGTACAGTGGTAAATATGGTTCATTGCGACAAGTGGCTACTCAAGGTTCTCAATAGTTATATTTTCATACTGTAGCTTGGGTGGGGTTTGATTGTTGAGTTTCTGAAAAGATTTTTATCGCTTTTTGTATTTCACCATCGCTTAATGTCATTTGAATGTTAAGATATTATTTTATACTAAAATTTGTATTACAATTCTCTCTTTTTTGAGATCTTGCTTTTCTTTTCAATTCTAAAGTAAATTCTAGTCTGGTTCTATGTAAAGAAAAACTTTTTCTTTTTACTTAAATTAATTTATCAAGTTGTCTAATGCCTGTTTTCTCAGTGTAGCATTGATGTTATATTGCGCATGGTCGATCTCGCTGATGAAACGAACCAATGTGTCAAAATATTTCTATGTAGTTGTTTCTCTTTCACTCTTTTTATTATATGCATTAGTTTATCCTTTTTTACTTATCAAGAGTAACATATTTTACCTTTTTTGAAACTATGGTGTTCGTTAGTGAACGATCGGCGGTGCTAACAGAAACGCACTTTATGGTGGGTTCATACAGCCAAATAAAATAAAATAAGAATAAAATAAAATAAAATAAGAAAGTTGGTTATATGAGATACCGTACATGCGTTCATACAGCCAAATAAAATAACAAATAAAATAAGAAGTCTTTATCTTTTAACTTCTTGTTTTATTTTATGTGAAAAGGGCTTTGCGCACGCTTAATTCTAACCTACAAATATTTTCAGTTTGGATTTAATTTATTTTTTAATTTCACATAAGTAAAATGTATAATATAGTAGGCAACGAATAAATAAATATACTATAAATAGTAAAATTACTATAAACAATCGTAAAAGTTAACTTTTATCCAGCCTCATCGTACTGCGCATGAGCAAATATATATTTCTTATTTTATTTTATTTGACTGTATGAACGCACACAAATAAGAATTCCTTATTTCTTATTTTATTTTATTCTTATTTTATTTTATTTGGCTGTATGAACCCACCATTACTGTAAAGAAAATCTTGAAAATTAATTCGTTTCTTTTATCTTTTAAGTATTTACAATAAAATAATTAGATCGTTCATGAAGCAGAATTAATTGCTATTGTAATTTAAGATTTTTGACATGCAATTTTCGTGATTTGACTTTGTACTCACATACACGTTGTATTGTTTCTTATAAAGTTTTTTTGATTTTTACTACTGCATTTGAGAAATGAGGATTCTTTTGATTGTTGAGCAATGTTGTAAACTTTACCATAATCCCACTTTGGTGAGTTGCATTTTAATATTTTTTTTTACAAGAATAGAAATTGTATTTAATTACTATAATTGTAGAAGAGTCCTGAAGAAGAGAACAACTGAATTCTCGAAAGCTTGACTAAACAATAAAGGGTTTTTCCTTGAACTAACGGCCTTCTTATTAGACTGCAGCCCCAAGACACCTGTTTGAATATTTTTCTCAACTAGTCAGTCGCGTAGACTACCCATCTCTTTATTATATATATATATATATATATATATATATATATATATATATATATATATATATATATATATATATATAGTATATATATATATATATATATATATATATATATATATATATATATATATATATATATATATATATATATATATATATATATATATATATATATATATATATATATATATATATATATATATATATAATATATATAATAACTTAGAAAATATATATATAATAACTAATTCTGTATACAGGGCCGAGCCGCCCATGTGTGCGAAGTGTGCGGTGCACACAGGCGCCAAGACGAAAAGGGCGCCGGATGAAATGCCAGCGCCAATTGTTTTAAATTATTTTTGTTACACAAATCCAAAACTTACTGGTAAATTCCAAAACGAAATAATTTATACAGGTACTTAGTAGCAAATTTCAACATTTCATTTTGAATTTATGTTGAATATACTAATATATTATTATACAGGGTGGTTCGAAAACTTCGGCAGCATATTCTGCAGGTAAAAATAAGTAAAAAAGTTCGTATAAATGTATGTCCTAAAGTGGTTAGTTTCGGAGATACAGGGTGTAGAAGTAACATCAATATTTAGATGAAAATTGGTGTCCGGAAGTTTGACATGAGAAATTTGATTTTAATTTCAATATAACTCCTACTTGTAGGGGGCGCTACCTACATGTGTTTTAACTTTTTTGAAGAGTAATAACTTTTCGTCCGTAGGTATCCGTATAAAACAACTGAGTGAAAAAATTTACATTTCTGTGATTTTTTACGTAAAAAATGTCTCTTGGTAAAAAGATATTTGGGATGGAAATAGTCAATACATGTCATTATTGACAAAGAATAAACATGTTGAGTAGATAGTTAAAATTAAAGAAGTTTTTGATAGAACTGACAAAAATTTTGACAAATTAATATTGTAAATTGTAAAAATGAAAATTGTCGAAAAATTTGATGTCGATGGTGAAAATCATCCGAAAATCTTTAAAATTTATGAATTTTTTATATATTGGATGAAGCTTTATACTCCGTAGACGAAAGATTTAATTTGTTAAATAATAACAACTACGTATTTAAGTTTTTATTTAAACTGAGTGATGACCCAGATGAATGATAAGAACTAGCTGCAATCGTTTGTAGGAAAAACTTTCGCCAAATCATTGGATATTAACACCGCTGATTTGTCCGAAGAAGTTATGTTATATCAGTCTTTTTTCAAATATATCCAAAATATAATATAATATTAATTAAATAATGATAAGGTGACAATAGAAATATTTATGTCGAATCCCAACGGCAAAAAAAGGCGCTTCGTAGGTTTTGCACACAGGCGCTGCCCTGTCTGTTATAGATGCCCTGTACGCCAATTACAAATGTTTGTCAAGTATACACGAGTCGTGAGAATGCGCCGTAAGAAGATGGTAGCTTTGAAAATTTTCCGAAACTTTGTGTTCAGTAACCGATCTTAGCATTAATTCGAGTTGATATTTCTTCTTAATAAAATAGGATGTTCACGTTGCTCACTTCAGTATTTTTTATTAACTTGGCAAGTGGATAAAGCTCATACAGTTGAATCATACTAAATGATAACTAATTGTTTCATAAGAGATAGTGGAGTGCCCAGAGACTTTTACCTCGGAATTCAATTACTGTGAATGTATTAATTTGAAACCTTCTGTATTGTGTTTTATAAGTAAAATCCTAAAATGTTTACCCATTTTTTTCCGTTGCTTTTAATTTTTTATTTTAGTAATTTTAGTAAATTCTTATTTATTTCCTTCTTAATTTTTTGATTTTTTTAATTTGTTTTCTAAGTAAATTTATTGACATAAATGAATCTAATGCATAAGCTATACCTATTCTGCTTATATTCTAATCATTGAAATTTTGGTTGAAATCGAATTATACAGGGTGGCGCGTCATATACGACGCGGTTCTTGCAAGGAGAACAAAAGTTTGTATTGAAGTAAAATTTTGTGAGCTTATGTAAGTCAATTTAAAGCATTTTCTAAAATTATATAGAGTTCTACAGGGTGTCCCCAAAAAAAAGTTACACATGAAAGTTGTGATTTTTGTAATGGAACACCTTGTATATTAATTGATTTTCGGATTCTGGTAAAAAAATAAAGGCGAGTTTCATTAGAAAAGCATATGACTAAAATGTATAGTTTTTGAAATACATTCACCGACAGGAAAAATAGACACCTTAAAACTTTGATGTATTTTAAAGTTTAATATATTTTTTTCTAGTGGGCCGATTTTGATGATTTTTTAAGCAGTATCTAGCCAAATTATTTGACTTTTTGGTATCTCTTTCTAAATTAAACTACCCATCTGTTAATTATACGAGGGAAAACAAAATGTTGATATTTTGGTAAAAGTTTGAAACACCCTGTGGAATATGTTAAAACAGCAAGAAATTTAAACATCATTTTATCATCTAGATACATTCTTTCTCGATAGTTTGTTTTTTGGTTCATCTCATTAGCTTTATTTTTATTGGAGATATTCGCTTTTGAAGAAGACTAACATTTTTTCGTAATTTTTACATTAGGACCATGCCTTTGCTTTTGGTCCTAGTCAACAGATCTAGTAAGTTCTGGTCCCGAAGCAGGCCTTCTTGACATAAGATTTGCTACATTTAGTCTTCTTCTTGAATAGTTAAGGCCAGAAATGCAATAAAATGTGTGAACAATATACTGTGAAGTAACAAAATAGGTAAAGACAAAAAATTACTGGCGGTATAAATGGACTCGATAAGGAGATCAGCACGAACATCAAGGCTGGATAGAGTACAAAACGAGACAATCAGGGACAAAATGGATAGACAGAAAACTATAGTTTTATATATATTTTTTTCTAAACAACACGAGCCATATTTTTTAATGTAGTTTTTTATGAAGGTCTTTTCTGTACCACGTTAATGTCCTGAGGAAGGAATAAATAAATTCCGAAAGCTTGACAATTAACAATGTGTATTAATTCTTTGTCAAACCCTTCCGACTGCAACCCCACTAGATCCTAGATTTTCTTTCTCACTAGTCAGTCGAGACTACTTTCTGCTTATATTTTTATATAGAGATTGCCCAACTGAAGTGGTATGGACATTTTATAGTAATTTTATAGCAAATTCACTGAACTAAACAAATATAAAGCATTTCATTTGAAAAACTAAAACTTGAGAGTTGAGAGTAAAAATATATTTGACTCACTGTATACTACTCTCCTGTATATCTATAAAAAGATTTTTGAAACGGGAGCTACCATTAAATATTTTGTAAAAGATTTGGAGTGAAAATCTCAAATAGAAATCCTGATACAAAGCTTTTTCGGAACACGGAGCCATCTTGTATGTATGCATTTGTATATGTGTGTTTATTATTGAAAGCAACGAATTTAAATGGGTAAACTTTGTAATATATCTTATTAACAATACAATGCAAAATTTTTTATAAAAAATCGTTCCCAGTAAATGAATTCCGAGGTTTGTATCCCATAAGGGCTTAAAGCACTCCACTAAGATGGTAGCACCGAGTCATTAATTCTATTTTATTATTTTTTGTCAGTTGATTATTAAACTTTTAATTTGTACATAAGTCTATATGATAAAGAACTTTTCACATATGCATATTTTAAACTGTTTTTTGGGGTGTGGGGGAGATTAAAAATTGAATAATACTTACCACCTAAATAGTCACTTTTTAACCTCGGTGTCAATAGATGTATAAATAATTCACCGAATATTCCTGTATAATTATAATGCAACTTCAATTATGCAATTGAAATTAAATAGTCGGATCATTCCACTTAAATAGCTAAAATGTTATCAGAATTTATTAAAAAAATAATTCATCTTTATTTATTTTATGAATTTTTTAAATTATTAAATTAAATCAATCTTTATCTCCTTCTTTACACTTCAAAATAAACTATAATAAAATAAAACCCGATAAAACCAACCTATTGATAACACCAGACACGTAATTGCAGGAATGAGTCACTTAAGGTAACATTTAAAATAAAAATACTTAAATATTTATTATTTGAGTGTGTTTAACATATTAGGGCTAATAGTTTGGAAAGCCTCTCGTATTTTTACTTGAAGCTCATCCAGATTATTAGCCCTATTATGACCATACACTTTGGATTTTACATAACCCCACAAAAAGAAATCATTGGGAGGAAGATCTGGTGATCTAGCGGGCCACAAAATAGTTCCATGTCCACTAATAAAACGGTTGGGAAAAGTATTGTTCAAATATTCTTGAACAATACGGGCATTGTGGGCAGGGCAACCATCTTGTTGAAACCAGACATTGTGGAATCTTTCTCCCAATAACTCACGAATTCTCAGGACAATCTGCTGTAACAAGTCCAAATACTTTGCAACAGTTAAATTACCCTCTATAAAAAATGGACCAATCATATGCTCCCCTACAAAACCACCCCAAACATTTAGCTTTTGAGGATATTGCGTGCGTACCTCAAAATATTTGAGCAAATTTTCCTGAGACCAATATCGTACTTGTGTAGGGTTATGACGACTCAATAAATGAAAACTTGATTCGTCGGTGAAAACTATACGCCGAATAAAGTTTTCATCTAAATTGGCCTTTTCCATTACAAATTCACAAAACGCCATACGCCGAAATTGGTCTTCATGGAAAATTTCTTGAGTTTTGCGCGCTTTATACGATCGGTATCCATTCTTTTTAAGGACTCTTTTAACCTTGCTAGGTGAAGAATCTGTTACATCAGCAATTTGATTACTTGAAAACATGGGATTTTGATCCGCGGTAGCACAGATGAACACTTGCTTTAACTCCTGTTCTTCATTAATCAACACATCAGGCTTTTTGTGTTTTTGTGGGGACACGCACCCATGTGTTTCAAAATTATTAATAACTCTTGATATGGTAGGTAAAGATGGAATTGGCCTATTTACAAAAGTTTGTGGAAAAATTGTTTGTATATCCCGATAAGACATATTTTGGAAATACCATTTTACAATTTGAATTTTCTCACGAACTTCGTAAACATCCATTATTTTAGTTAAAAAATAAATTTTACACGAGAGCTGCCGCGAGAATCTATGTATTCGTTTTGGCTATTAAAACACGAATAAATACAAATTCTGAAACATTCTTATCACATATCTACCTATTTTTATTGTATCGCATTTTTTCGCCTGCTTTTTATCCGGCGGACGGGTATGCGCTAATTCGTCCGGTTCTGCCTATGTTACTACTAGGTGGTCCGGTCTGTATGATGGTTGTATGAATCAATTAAGGTATAGATTTAGATTCCAGTTGTCAAGTATTACTCAATAAACATTTTCCATTTAACATTAGTTAAAAAGAAAAATTAACACTGAAAATAATATAATATGTTATTTAAGTGGTAATAATCTAGAGAGAGTTACGATTCGAGATTTAACTTTAATTTAATAAACATACTACTGTACTTTTATATTATAAATCAATACAGATATTATTCAAATATTTGTTTAGTTAAGCACTTTATATATACAGAGTGTCCCAGTTCAAACGAAACAAGGCAATTTAAAGGCATTTCTGGTGTGAAAAGGACAACACGGTGAAACACGTCAACTTTATTTTCGAAGGCGGATATATGATGCGACTATTTTTGAAACCCCTAATTCAAACCGCACGGCCAAGAGTGGGCCCATCCCCAACATGGCACTTAAGAAAACTGACGGAAGCTACACGGAAGGAGATGAAGAGAGAGCTAACCTCCTACTTCATACACACTTCCCAGGTAGCATATCTATTGATACGCAAGTAGCTCCGACCGAACCCCACAATCCTCGCAGGGAAGACTGGGAGACGGCCAAGCTAGTAATAACAGAACAAAAACTGAAATGGGCTATTGACACCTTTCAGCCTTATAAAACAGCAGGAATAGATGGGATTTTTCCTGCCCTTCTAAAGAAGGGTGAGGAAATAGCTACACACCATCTATTAAACATTACAAGAAGCAGCTTAGCTATGGGATATATACCAACCATCTGTAGAAGAGCGAAAGTAATATTCATACCCAAAATAGGCAAACCTGACTGGGCTAACCCCAAATCATTTAGGCCTATTAGTCTCACATCGTTCATATTAAAAACGATGGAGAAAGTAGTGGACAACCATATTAGAGTAAATCATCTAAACCACTGCACGATAGTCAGCATGCATATAGAGCGGGCAGATACACAGAAACTGCTCTGTACCAGTTAACTGAACTAATACAGGCAAGCCTGGATAGCAAAGAAACAGCACTTTGTGCCTTCTTGGACATTGCAGGGGCGTTTGACAATATACCTCACAAGGTGGTCAAGCGATCTCTTGAAACAAGAGGGGTGAACAATACGATAATTCGCTGGTTTTGGAAATGCTCTCAACACGAACAGCAGAGGCTGAGATAGGTACCAAAACTGTAGTTGTTAAAACAACGCAAGGAACTCCACAAGGTGGAGTGACCTCCCCCCTACTGTGGAGCTTGGTAGTGGATGAACTACTGGAAGAATTAACTCTAGCGGGAATACACTGCATAGGGTCGCAGATGACATAGTCATCATTGCACAGGGGAAACATGAAGGCACCCTGTGTGATATTATCCAAAGAGGATTCCGCATCGCTGAGAGATGGTGCAGGACTGTCGGGCTGAGTATTAACTCAGATAAAACCGCAGTAGTGCCATTCACCAGAAAGCGAAGTTTGAAAAACTTGAAAAGAATCCATCTAGATGGAAAGGAAATACTGCCATCACAGGAAGTGAAATATCTGGGAATAACCCTGGATAGTAAACTTCTCTGGAACAGGCATATTAAGAACATTACCAGCAAAGCCACAAAGGCTCTCATGATATGCAGAAGACTGGCGGGAAATAGGTGGGGCTGCGCCCCTAACATTTTGCGCTGGATGTATACCATGATAGTAAGACCCATGATTACTTATGGAGCAGTTGCTTGGTATACAAAACTAGAGCAACGTACAGCAAGGCAAACCCTGTGCAAAGTACAGAGACTGGCATGTATCTGCATCACAGGTGCCATGAGAACATGTCCAACAGCAGCAATGGAGGTCATTCTAGACCTAACACCACTGCATATTGTCGTCGGTAGTTATGCCAATGCGACAATGATTAGAATGGTCATTGACGGAAACAGTACTGGGAGAATTTTCAGGTCAGGGGCTTGGAACACCCTCAAAAAGAAAATTCCACTTCTCCAACTCCCAGTGGATGACATACCAAGAATTTACAACTTTGAGAAACACCTCACTGTAGTATTGAGTAATAAAAAGGATTGGAAGAAAGAAACGCTTACTCAGCATATAAAAGACCATACCATCACGTGGTATACTGATGCTTCCAAAACCAAAGCAGGGACAGGGATAGGAGTATTTGGGCCGAAAACTGAATACTCCGAACCAATGGGCACCTACCCCAGTATCCTTCAGGCAGAAATTTGCGCTATCGAAAGATGCGTACAATTTATCTTGGATAGGAACTATCGAAAACAGGAAATTGCCATCCTATCCGATAGTCAAGCAGCACTTAACGCGATCAACTCAGTAACCATCAATTCGAAGTTGGTCAAAGAATGCCTAGAGAAGCTCAACAAATTAGGCAAAGAAAATAAAGTCCTCTCTACTCTGGGTGCCTGCTCACCAAGGGATAGAAGGCAATGAAAAAAGCAAATGATCTAGCTTAGAAAGGAGCGAACACTCCACTAACTGGACCAGAACCGTTCTGTTTTCCAAACGGGAACCAACTGAAAGCGGAACTGAAGAATCTGGAAGACTCCATCCGTAACTTGGAATGGGTATGTCCTCCAACGGTCTAAGACACTCGAAAAAGTTCCTTAGAACTTATGACCGAGAAAAATCAAAGGTTTTCCTTGATTTAAGTAAACAATCTTCGGATTGTCACGGGGTTTCTAACAGGACACTGTCTCCTCAACGAACACCTCAGTAGGCTGAAACTGAGAAACAACGGCGAATGCAGATTTTGTGGGGAAAATGGGGAAACACCCAGAACACCTTATCACTGAGTGCGCCGAGACGACGACCATTCGTGCCATGAACCTTGGCACGTCTGATGTCGAGGATGGAGAGCTGGCCTCTGTGGAGCCGTCTCAGATACTGGCTTTTCTTAAAGCCCTGAGACTGTATGATGAGTTATAACTCGTTATAACTCAAGAAAGGGGAACACACAATAGATCTGTAAGGTCGCGGTGATTGACTCCCCTTCTAAACGTTCTACATTCTACATTCGAGAGTTGTCGCGAGAATCTATGAATTCGTTTTGGCTATTAAAACACAAATAAATACAAATTCAGAAACATTCTTATCACATATCTACCTATTTTTATTTTATCGCATTTTTTCGCTTGCTTTTTATCCGGCGGACGGGTATACGCTAATTCATCCGGTTTTGCCTATGTTACTACTACGGTGGTCCGGTCTGTATGATGGTTGTATGAATCAATTAAGGTATAGATTTAGATTCCAGTTGTCAAGTATTACTCAATAAACATTTTCCATTTAACATTAGTTAAAAAAAGAAAATTAACACTGAAAATAATATAATATGTTATTTAAGTGGTAATAATCTACAAGGAGAGTTACGATTCGAGATTTAACTTTAATTTAATAAACATATTCTGTACTTTATATTATAAATCAATACAGATATTATTCAAATATTTGTTTAGTTAAGCACTTTATATATACAGAGTGTCCCAGTTCAAACGAAACAAGGCAATTTAAAGGCATTTCTGGTGTGAAAAGGACAACACGGTGAA